GCTTAGACTTCTCTTGCCCTGGTTGGGAAAGGAGACCTGACAGGGTCTTGGAACCCATGGAGCATATCAGAGAAATGAACCAAAGGGCAGACAGCCCTCAGGACATGGTCAAGCAGTCATCCCTCCACACAGTCCACTGGGAAGTGGGAGCTAATGAGATGGCTCTTTCATCTCCTCCTTGCATCGAGAGGTGCTCACCCCCATGCAACACTGACTGTGTTTAAAATGATTAATTGCCTGGTACTTGGATCCAAGCAGCTACAGGTTACTGCAACATAAAAGCTAATGAAACAGGGAGGAAGTAATTAACAAAGAGCCTCTCTGCAGATATACATTGATCCAGCAAGATGTGGACAAGATGTGTGCTCTCTGTTGAAATCCAAACATGAACATGCTCACCTCCCAACTATTGATCAGGACACAGTTCAGGCCAACACAGGGCAGAAGTCACCACATCCCAGGGGCCATGAGAGAACAGCCTCTGTCTGTAGCAGGAAAGGAATCACTGGTCTATTCCCTGCTGAAGTTCACAGCTAACAACAAATAGCAACCAATAGCAATTGGGTTTTTCCTCTCAATCAGTTTTTTTTTTTTTTTATCATTTCACCCCTATTTCTGTCTCCTCTTCCTGCCTCATTCTTTCTCCTCCTCTCCCTCTGTCATCTTCTTTACACCCTCTTTTTACCTCCTCTCTTGTCTGCAGACCAAAATTCAATTCTCCCATGTTAATATCATCACCACCCTTTTACCTTCCTCTGGCCTGGGGAGGTTTTTTCTGGTTAAAGACTCAGCTCTGCTCAGGGTGACATGACTCTGGTGGAGATCCCAAATGGTGAGCATTAAATAGGATGGGGTTAGTAGTTTGCACAGTTTAATATAACAAAAAGCACTGCAGTTTGCTCAATATTTATTGAAACAATAGATAGGTAGGCAAATGAATAGATAAATGATTTATTGATGTATTCAGCATAATATGAAAAATACTGTCTACATCACTTGCATGTACTTTCCTCTTTTACAGTAGAATTGAAAAGGCCAACAACCTGCTGTACATCGACCCTGAGGCCTTCCAGAACCTTCCCAACCTTCGATATCTGTAAGAACTCATATACTCCACCACCATCTCTATTATCAAATTGTGTATTCTTGTTTTAGCACAATGCCCAGGTGCTACTCTGAGGCATAACGGCTTTTTATCACAGATGGGGTGGGGGGTAGAAGCAGAGGTAAGGAGGCACTTGGTGTAGATGTTAGTTTAATGAGCAAATTTCACTAATATAATTGCATTTTGTTTCTCATTTTAAAAACAGAAATAAGGGATGCCATTTGCATTAATGGGAACGTCATGCAGGCCTCTTACAAAACTCAATCAGAATTTAGTGTTAGTGAGATGCAACCAAAATTTCTGCTATGATTCAGTTTGTGATCTTGACCTCAAAGATATTATCTCTCTTGTTTTGCATACATGTATTCCTTTCTCTGAGAGATTGCAGTGTTTCATTTGGTAAGTTTTGGTTAATAACAAATATGGTATTTATCAGTAGAGAGACTTCTGGTCTTTGAGCTCCATCCACTGGGCCTGATCTCATTGGCAAAAACACTCTGTTTCTACTCAAATGGCTTTCAAATTAGCAGAAGACTTGACAGAGCCCTGAGTGTTATGATGGGCCTCACAAAATAATAGATCAGAATCTGGATTCTAAATTTTCTGGATCCATTTTCTAGTATATCAAGTAATTAACAAAGAGCCTCTCTGCAAATATCCATTTACTAGTTACCAATCACAAGCAAGGACTTAGCTTCTCAAAATGTGTTTCCACGTCAAAAGAATGAAAATAATAATGATGCATATGTATATTTACTAACATAATAATGATACATGATCAACCACCACCTAAAGATACTTAAAGCAGCAGCCATTCATTTTCTCCTGTCTGTGTGTTGGTCAGTGGAATGGTTCTACTGATCTGGACTATGTTTGCCTGACCTCAGCTAAGCTCAGTCATGCATCTGTAGTTAGCTGGCAGATGAGCTGGGGGCTGGATCCTGTGGAAGGTCTCAGTTGGAATGACTCAGCTCTCCTCCCAGTGATGCGCCTTTCCAGCAAGTTGGCATAGGCTTGTTTCCACTGTAACCCTGGGTTCCAAGAAAGACAGCTGAAGAGTGCAAGCCTCTTTGGTCCAACACCCTGAACTAGCACATGGTCTCTTCTGATGCATTTTTGTTAGCCAAAGAAGGTCACCGAACAGTCTAGTTTACAGAGATGAAAAAATCAATGCCACTACTTGATGGAAGCATCTGCATGGTCACAATACAGCAGTGTAAATATATGGAAGGATATAGACCCGAAACCACATTTGCAATCATTTAAAGTGTTTAGAAAGTTTTCCACAGTACCTATCACATCAGGTGCTCAATAAATATCATGACTTGATTTCTAAATTTTGGTCATTAAGAACTGGAGTGCACAGGTATAATAAAGGACACTGGACCATTGTGTGCATCAGCTCTCTGAATCGGGGCCGAGGAATTATTAGAAGAGTCCGCATCCTGCTTTCTGAAAGGAGTCCCAGAAAGGGTCTGACAAAGAAAGAAGGCAATTTGATCCTGCGTTCATGTCGGAGGCGGGCTGGGTTCAGGGGCATACCACCCATGAAGGGCCCCCCTCTTAGAGGGTCTAACACTAGGTTCAACTCTCAGCTATCCCCATTTTGAAAGATTTAAATGTCTGAGCATTTTTAAGCAAGGGACCCTGCCTTTTTACCTTAAACTGTACTCTGCAAATTAAATAGCTAGTGTGCTCAGAAGACATGGTCTTTTTTAGGTTGAGGCTTGGGATTATGACTCCTTAAGTGAACTTTTGTTCCTTAAGGGGCAGAGACTCTCTGCAGAGGCTAACACAATAGTGGAAGAAATATGTGGTAATAGGAAAAGCATGAATCTTAGAATCAGAAAATCTGACTCTATCATATGCCAGTTGAGAATCTTAGGCCAATCACTGAACTTCTAAAATGTACGTGGATTGTATGAGCCTCAAGTGAAATTTATACATAAAAATGTTTACATATGAAAATATTTTACAAATTACCAAGTGCTAAAAGAATTAATCAGAATGATTATTTCTAGTCACCCATCTATCCTCAGGAAAATTCCTGTAAATGTTGAGTAGAGTGTTATGGTGACCACTAAGACCTGTAGCTGTTACCTAGAGTGTCTGGCATGGGTTCGAAAAGAGAAGGGTGGAATATGCCTTGCACTTAATGGAGGAGCATAGAAAAGAAAGAGAAAATAAAACTATATTGGAATCCAGAAGGACTGAAATCCAGATAGGACACTGACATTTATTAGTTACATACCCAGTTACCTTGTAAAACTTAGTTTCCTTATATGTAAAATGGGTGGTTATGAAAACCAAATAAGATCATGCCTATAAAAAAAACACTTTGCAAAATATGCACTATAAAAACTATAAATAAATATACAAATATAAAATGATTAGTGCCTTTTACTCGGTAGATTTTCTTATTTTCTTCTTCTCTTCCTCTTTCCCTTCTTACTTCCCTCCCTCCCTTCTTCCTTGTCTCCCTTTCCTCTTACAAAATGCCTGAGAGGAATATGGGGGTACAGAGAGCCCTTCAGTAAAAGAACAAAAACGCTCTATGAGGTACGAAGGAATCCCTGGATGCACCTCAATTCACAAGCTATCACATAGGGTTAGTGTCAATTGCCCCTGCAGAGAATAAGCTCATGAAGAAAACTGTCTCCTCACACACATTTTCATAGCCTATGAAAATGGTGGACTAGAGCTTGTAAATGAGGACTGAGGAACCACTGCAAACTTGAAACCAAAGGATCCTGTTACTGGCCAACCTCTCGTAGTCATCACCGTCCATTCTTCATAATGAGAGCCCTCAGTAAGGGAGGAACTCAGAAGGATTTGGGCAGGGAGAAAGATAGGGGGAGACAAAGCTATGCTTTGGACCTGGAAGAGGACAAAATCTGTGTCATCTGTCTTTGAGTTCCACCTCCCTTGCATATCCATTTCTCACTTTAAGTGAGTAGTCCTCAATCCCACCTGTCCCCTTTGCAGATGACAGAAAGCTGGAGGTGATTGTTTCCAGCCATAATCTAGTCCAAAAGAAGGTTATTTCTCAGAGTACTTTAAATCTACTCTCTTGCTGGGAAGAAGACTCTCCTTTAATACTCTGAAAATAATGCTATCGTCTTTGTCAGTTCTGGCTGCTATAACAGAACACCACAGCCTGGGTAGCTTAAACAACAAATTTTGATTTCTCATGGTTCTGAAGGCTGGACATTTGATATCAGGGTATGTTCTTGGGGAGGGCCTCTTTCTGATATATAGACAGTCTTCTTCCCATGATGCCCTTATATGGAATATACATATGAAGAAAAGGAAAGATAACCATGCCTCTACTTTTTTTTAATGTGAATATTTATCCCATCATGAAAGACCCAACCTCATGACCTTACCTAACCCTACTCACATGTACCACCAAAGTCCCCACCTCCAAATACCATCACCTTGAGGATTAGAGTTTCAAAATATAAATCTTGGATGATACAAATATGCAGTCCATGGCAGTGATATATTCTCCACTGTACAAACTCTTTTAACATCTACTGCAATATGAATCCACTGTCAGGAAGTTGAGAAGAGGAGTAACCTATGTTAAACCTTCTCATTTCTTTCACAGACTAAACCTTTCTAAGTTGTGCATTCCTCCCTGGCATGTGCTCCGTGGTGGCCCTGGAGATTGCAATATCCTGCCTTCCAATGACACTTCTATCAGCAATACATCTATTGGGGGCTCAGACTGTAGCATTTTGAAATATTTTCTAAACTGCTAAGGAGGATCATGAAAAATTCACTGTCAGTTCTCAGTCTGAAAGATTATATCAGGAAAACAATGCCCAGTTAAGCTTCTATCTTGTATTTGTCATCTCAGGCTGCCAGAACAAAATACCATGGACTAAGCAGCTTAAACAACAGAAGTTTATTTCAGGCCATTCTGGAGACTAGGGAATCTAGGGTCAAGTTACTGGCTGATTAGGTTCTTGGCTTGCAGATGGCCACCTTTTCTCCCTGTGTCCTCAGATGCCAGAGGGAGAAAGAAAGAGAACAGAAATCAGAGATCATTCAAATGAGTGAGAATGAATGAGCAAAAACAAGTCTCTGATGTTATTCTTAATCCTATAAGATTAGAGTCCCACATGGATTACCTCACTTAAACTTAATTATCTCCCTTAGATCCTATCTCCAAATAGTTATGTTGAGATAGGACCTTAAGAACATACGAATTTTCAGGGACACAGTTCAGTCCATAGCACATCTCCACCCATGTTTGTGTCTGAGCAGCAGTCATAATAGTTTCATGATATAGCAGCCAGGTCAATGCATGGTGATTTCAGATATTCTTTGAGTTAATGAACTACTTCCTTCTAGGCAAAGAAAAATCACAAAGTGAATTAAGGAATCCAGTGAGGACCAGTAGAGGTTGTTAGGTTTTTGTTGTTGTTGTTTTGTTTTATCTTGAGCCAGAATAAATGTTTAATATCAAAGCCACCAAAGCAGGGGATTAGAAGGGGGTGGGAGTGAGATGCTATTTGACTTCAGCATCCTAATTGCTGCACACACATACTCAGAAATGTCGTACTCAAGTTCTCCATGTTGATTCCATTTCATGCTGTTCATTTGATGGCACAGAATTCAAGACAACAGAAATCAGCGCTCTTCATCAATGCCTTCATGCTTCATCGAGGAACCTGAAGTGGTTAGGAAAAAAAACAAAAAACCTCATGAATAAAGAAACGTTCTTTAGCAGAATATGCATCAAAGGATTCATCTGGGTGGAATTTTTACAGTCAATATTGTACTTGCCTGCAATATTTCTTTCTTTACTGCTTTGCCTTCCTGGAGCTGACCTTTTGTATATGAAAGATTATCTATTGATCTGTAAATAAGATTTACACAATATTCTCTTGCCTTTGCATTCTGTCAATGTAATTCTCAGGCAGCTGGGTGTTGCTCTTTGCTACTCAATAAACCATAGTTCCATCTTAGCAAACATGTCACACAGCTGTGTGGGCCCCACCCACAACCCCCACTGAAAACCATCTTCCAGTCAGATGTGGCCCATTAGACCTCCTTATGATGCCTGATAATGGCTGCCAAGCCATCTGCTTTTTCCAACTGGAGACAATTCCAGGAGGTTTTTTACTGGTACTCTTAGCAATCCAAGCCTTTTCTTCCCCAGCCCTCAGCTAAGTCTCTCTCTCTCCCTTCTGACTTCCTCTGTTTCACGTGGTTTAGTGAAAATAATGCAAATAGCTTTTGTGATTGTAAAAGCTAAATCATTTGTTAGAGGTAGCATGGTAAAGGGACAGAGGGCAGGGACTCAAGAGACCACTTAGAGTATTGAAGAAGGACATGGACTCCAGTGCCACCTGTCTGGGCTCAGGTCTCAATTCATTCCCTTGCTAACCATGTAAACTTGGATAGCTAGGCTAGCTCCTCTTAAGTCTCAGTTTTCCCTTCTATAAAATAGGAATGTTAGCATTGCCTGAATTATTAAATTGTATTAAAAGAGTTCAGTCAAATGAACTACATAGAAAACTGACTGGCATTTTGAAAATTCTCAATGGTAGCAATTCTTATTAAATCCTGGACCCTGTCCATGACTAGGACTGCCCAAAGGAGTTCATCTTTTGAATCTAAGTTCTCTCCTCTGCTTAAAGAATGAAAGATAACAATACCTACTTTTTAAGAATGGTGCAAGTATAAGTGAGATACTGGTTGTAAAGCCTCTTGTATATCTTTGGGGCAAAATAAGTGCTTATTATTTGATAGTGACAATCATTGGTGGTGGTGGTGATAATGTCTCTTTCCCCTTTTAATAATTATAAGATTTTGAAGGCCTCTTTAACTGCTTCTTTTAGACAGAATACATCAACCAGCCTTTAAACAAGAAAATATATCATTTGTATTTCTCAAAGGACAAAGACATTCTTCTCATAGAACCTCTGACATATCCAGAAAGGTCTTTCCAACAAACAAAATTAAAATACCCTTAACGGTTCTAACAGAGACCTCTTTATTCTGCCGTTTAATGTTTATTTTCAATATTGTGATCTACAAGCTCATTTTCTATTCTCAAACAGATGGTTGGATAATGCTTCTTATTTGTTGATTTATGATTCAGCATTTTTATCATACTTTATCTCACTCACACATCACAGTATTCCCTGAGGTGGTCAGAGCCCTATATACTTGATATAAGAGAAGTAAACTGACCCATCTATAGTCCTTGGTTATGAGGCTTTTCTGACAGAAACATGCAATTTTCCTACAGAGTGAATCACTCTGATACTTTTGGTACTCATCCATGTTTTCCTCTCTTTAGGGGCTATAAAAAGAGCCATAGTAAGGCTCATTTTTATAAAATATGGAAGCAAAATAAATGCTTCTTATTTGATGATGACAATCATGGTGGTGGTGGGGATAATGTCTCTTTCCCCTTACCCCATGCTTGGTAGAAATGATGCTTCTCCATTTGTCCTCCATCATTTTGGACCTAAATTGGCCAATCAGTAAGAACTTATAAAATGTGAAAGAATGGATGAAACCTCTGCCCTCAAAGAGCTGGCATTCTAGTTGGGGTAGAATAAGGTAGAAATAAGATAGAAACAAGGTAGAATAATATAGCAGGAAAGTAGTGATTAACGTTTAAGGATGGCAAAAATGGCCCAGTGATAGATACAGATATCCATGGACAGCTCCCATCTAAGTGGCTCCATCTTTTAGGGGAAGAAAAAGAGTATCATCAAGTAACTCCCCAAAAGTAACCTATATCTGTGGAGCTGTGTGGCACTGGCTATGGATGAGAGCAGTGCCCCAGTACCCTGGATCAGACTACCCAGGGAAAGCTTCTTGAGGGTTAGCTTAGGGAAAACTTGAGAGCATAGCTGTAACTTGAGGGATGAATATGTTTGTAAAGACAAATTTCGTGTGTGTGTGTGTGTGTGTGTGAGAGAGAGAGAGAGAGAGAGAGGACTGTGTAATAGGCAGAGGATGAGAAGAACTGAGTCCATACTCAGTTTGTGGCAATGATTTGGACTGTAGATTTATTAGTACTAGGATGTACACTATACTCAAGGGAGAGCTGCTAAATGAAATTTGCCACAATCCAGGGCTACAGTTATGATAGCACCAAAAAGAACAGAAAGGTATGGTTCAATGGAGGACATATTTCCAGAAAAATAAATAAATAAATAAGAATGACTGGCATATGCTTTACCTCCAGGTCAGAAATGGATCCAAGTGACTGCACTGATTTTGCCTACTAACCTCCAGACACCCTCAAAAAACTCCCACCCCTAAGGCCTCCACTAAGCACCTCCCACTCAGAGTCATCCTGTAGATGGTACTCATCAAGAATAGAGTCATCTTACACAGAGACTGTGATTGCTGGAGGAAAAAAAAAATATTAGCCATCTCCCTGGTTGTCAGTGTCATAAGTATCTAAGGATGTTGCCATGACTACGAGGAAGTCTGGGCACAATGGAGAGTATACAATTGCTTCTTTTATCAGTAACCTGTCTGGCAGATCCAACTTTCCCACTGTTGTCAACTCAAAGAAAACGTGGCCAGATTTTCCTTCTGGAACACTGATGTTCAAGGTGAGGTTTCAACCTGAGCATGTCCACTCCAGGCAGGGCAAGGACTTCCTCTTGATGGTAAAGATGGTAATGACTTTATGCTGCTAACCTCTCTTGCCTGTCCAGTGTGTTTTCTCCTGCAATAACCTCAAGTCCTTTCTACCAATGAGGAAATCATTCAATATATCGATTCACATAATGTGTTCAGGTCCTGAGATTTTTCTTCCCAGGAGTATTTGCATTTGTAAAACAGGAACCTGGAAAAGGTAATATAAACTAAGAAGTTGATAATGCTGGACTCCCAGGAATAAGGGCTCCCAAGAAGAGAAAATCTCTGCAGGAGTCATTCAAATAGCACATAGTTAACCATCTGTGCCACCCATTTGCACATTCTGAGCAATGTTATTTTTATAGGATACTCGTTCTTACAAGATACTTGTATCCTTATCTCTTTAATTATGAAATAAGGCCTATCTTTCTGTCATAACTAGAAATCAAATACAATTTGGGTTCAAGTCTCAGATTGGTTGAGTAAAGATCAGCTCTGCTTTCTTCCTTATTGTTAGTATCAGCTTCACACACCCATGAAGCCAGTGATGTACTAATTCCTTTAGACTTCTACATCTGCAAAATGGAAATAATAAAATATGCTTCAAGAAGCTATAGTTCAAGGAGAAAAATGAACTCTACAGCCCTAAGATCTCCTCTAGGTGGCAAGTGCTTGGCTTCTGAACTGTGATCTACACAAATCTGGGACTCGGTGTCATTACCTGTCCTGAGTCCAGAAAATACAGGGACAGTCCTGGGATGCATTCCTGTCATTTCAGCCCTCACAAATGAGCACACTACCTTAGCAGAGCCTGAGAGACACTAGATATGGGTATAGGTTTTAAGAGGCATACAGCACCCAGCAGCCACTGCAGCTCTCCTGGGGGGATAGATCCTTGGCAAGGCCTGCCTCAGGCACAGACAGAATGAGAGTTTGGACAGTGGGACATGAAAGGGTGTAGGGGAAAGCCTTGCTCTATGTAAAACAAACTGCCACCTCTTGTTGCACCATTGCAACATCAGTGTTGAGAGTTTCAAAGGGCATTTTTGTCCTAGTACACTACTTAGACTTGCAGTTATCCCTGGAAGAGACCACACATCTCCTTAGGGATGAGCCAGAGGTGACTGTGGGCAGCAAAAGTAGGCAGGACATGGAGAACAGGGCAAGTGTTATGCAAGTAAATCAACTCTTTTTTCTCACCACCCCCAAGTGCTGAGGACATAGTGCTAAAGAAAACCTGATCCCCACCCTGGAGTAGTGCAGAGAAAGAAGGAAGGGCAGAGGGGCCAGAGGAGGGAAGCTCATTTTCTCTTTTAGAGCAACCTGGCTGTGATCTAGACCTTTTGGTCCTGGTTCTCACCTCAGTTTGCAATATTTATTGAAGGAGATGTATTTTCTCCCTGCTTCCATACATTCATTCATCTCCTGTATCTTATCTTACACAATGTGTGTTCTTAGGCTGCGGGCTCCTGGAACATGCATGCTCTAGCTGAACACCCAACTGCTTGTCTTGTTTATCTGTGGAAGGATTTGCCCTCCCCAGAGCACAGCCACAGGAGGAACACATATTGGGGACTCACTAGTCAGCCAGGACCAGGGACTAAGGAATTGGCAGAAGATATCACCCCCAGAATCCACTGACACCAGATCTAGAGCAAGGGCTATGTCCAGTTCATCTTGGGCCCACACAGAATGAAAGTCTGCACACAGTAGGCCTTTATTGAGAATATGGTCCTGGCATGGGAGCCTTCTGTTTGAGTAAAGAGAGGGGAGCAGCTGCTGTTTTTAGAGAAATATCTTGGGGCGTTATGGAGTGTGAACACCAAAGTGACAAATGCTCTAAGAAAGAATATTTTCCTCTTCAGCAGACATCTCAAAAATGTTCTGCTGTAGTTTAATCACAAGCTCACCCACAGTGATCAGCCTGCAAATAATGTCTAGCTCAAGGGTTGGTGAGCTATTCCCTTACCCACTTGGGATGTGGACATAGCAGTACTTGGAAGAGAGAACAGATGTTTGGGTGGAGACCTGCAAGGGAAGCAACTAAGCAACCCTACTGGCAAAGTTCATCCAGCACTACCCAACAGTGCCACACGGACTCAGATTCACTCAGTAAGACACCAAGGAGAAGCTCTTATCCTTATGGGACAGTTCATGAGCCCAGTTCCAGCCCTGATCCTGCTTGTGAGAATTTGCAAGCAAGTCAGAAAAAAAATAACTTCCCTGGGCCTCAAGAAAAAAATGGAGAGAAAAATCACTGCTCTGTCTTCTGTAAAGGAAAGAAGAAACAGAATAAGACAAGACAGGGTATGGGGTGCTTTTCAAGTTAAAAGTAAAAAGCAACTGCAAGGACTGGTAGTTGCACAAAGCGTTGCTGGGTAACAGGAATCAATTTAGAAAGCACTTTTGCTTTGAAATTAATTTTTTTTTGTCTTCAAAAGCCCTGTGGAATATTTGGTGAGGGCTCCATGTTACAGATAGGAAGTTTGAGGTTCAGACATGGTGATTGAATTGCCTGAGCTCAATTCTTTGGGGGCAGGAGGCCCAGGAAAACTGAGCATCTATTATGGGGCAGATTCAGAACTAGACATGTTGTTCACACAGTTTAGCTCATCTCTTCGTCTTCCAAAATGGCGAGATAGGTATTTTCCCCCATCTACAGATGAGGATTTTGAAACTCAGAGATTATATAGTTGATAGAATAGGGAAGTGAGGCCAGAAAAGTCTAACTCAACCAGTTCATTGTGCTCTCCAGCACACCATAGGCAGGGAGGTGTAGGATGTAGAAGAAAGCAAATATGGCCAGTATTCAGAGTACAATGTGGTCACCTTAGTAAGACATTTGCCATTTGGATTTTGTGATCATTACCCAGGCAACACTGAAGTATAACTAAGAAATAGCTTTCTAAAAGATCTATATTGGAGATGAGTTGCAATGAAAGATGTTCAAACTGCTTAAAATATTAACTCTTTGCAATCCCCCACTATGTAATTAAAAGTTACCACTTGACACAAATTGGTGATTTGATTAAAGTCATTCTTAACAACAGCATCCAAAAAGGGCCTAAAAAGTTATGACTTGGCAACATTTTTAGCCATGAGCCTAAGTAGAGAGGTCTTTAGGCTTTGAAAGTTCTTATGCAGCCAGGGTGATATAATGGGAAAAGCATCATCGCCTATTGGCATGGCATTGTGGTCGGGACTCAATGATTTCAATTTGTGTAAAGCATTTACAGTGGTGCTTAACATGTAGTAATAGAATAGACATGTCTTAACTATTCTTTCTGGTTCAAGTCTATAAGTTTGGAAGAGTCAGTTACCTTTTGTGAGCCTTGCTTCTCTTCCATAAAAGATGAGAGTCATAAATATGCTTGTCTTAGAAGTCCATTAGAAGCCTAGTAAGATAATATGAAATAAGTCTGTCAGGCCCAGATGCTATGCAAATAACAAGCCGGACTATCTCCAAGACAGTTTTTCCTAGGAGAGAAATCAGAAGATTTTCTGTGACTCATGTAACCAGCTTCTAAGAGTTCAGTTACTTCCAAAATAGCAGCCTCTGTTCTGTGGTCACGTTAGCTAGCCTCTCATTCAGACCAAAGTCAAACACCAGTCACTGTGTCTCCAAGATGGAGAGGACAGATATGAAGCTTGTCACGTTGTCTTCTTAAAGCATCTCTTTCAACCTAAGTGGATCAGCCAGCAGCCTACACCCTTTCTAAAGTGGGAGAACAAAAAGGACAGATGCACAGCTGTCTCCAGAAGCCTGTCTCACAAGCTCTCCCCCAGATTTAACTCTGCATCAGTTCATGGTGACATATGTGAAAGGCTAAGAATTACATAACCAGATTCTAGAAACCTGGAATGTCACAGCTCTTAGACCTCAGGGTCTCAGGGGAAACTCCAACTGAACTCTGCTCATCCACAAAAGCATCCTATAGCATGCTCCCAATTAAAAGGACAAATAATGTCACGGCGAGAGCTACACTTATAGACTTATTAGTATTACTACTACTATTGTTATCACATTGAGGTCAGGTTCATTTTGTCAAATATGTCTATTCAGTTAGGTTTCCTTTTGATTCACTTTACAATGATTTCTTTTGACCCAAACATAGATAAATGTTGAGGTTATTTATTGGGCTAATAGCAGATCTTGGGGCTGGTATTCTATGCAACTCTAGATGAGCTGTGCAGTTTTTTGCCTTACTTGTCCTGATTATAATCTACAATAATCTACCCTAAAATGATCTGAAAGGTGCTAATAGAAAATGAACCCAAGTTTTATCTGCATCTGAGTATATGAACTACACAGATCTTATTTGTACCACGGTAGCATAATGGAGGGTGCTGCCTAAGAGAGATTTATCAACCATGTCCATTTTTTTGTAATTAGTGTACAGAAATGGCATGAATGCATTAGCTTGTAGCAGGGCTTCCAAGGTTGACTAGGAAGCAACAAACTCAGGAGATACTCTACAATCAAGATGGAGCCCAGGGACATGTTTGGGAAAGCCTGCATACTTCTTTCTTCTCTTAGACATTTACAATGGGTAATATTGTGGTAAAGGCTCTGAGAATCCTAAAGGAAAGAGACTGCTTAGCCCCAAGAACCTAGTGTTCCCCAAGTTTATTTTGCTATTACATCCTTTCCTTTTTAAACAGAGCATTTGTCTCCTTTATAAATAGTGTTTCTAGAGAAGTCCTTGGTTTCTAAGTTGAGAGGTCTTAGAGGTCACAGTCCAATTCCCTCCTCAGGAAGGCACTCTTCCACACAGTTACTTGAGCACATGTCTAGAGGTGAGACACTATTATCTTCGCAGCACAACCCATTCATTCTTGTATAGGGCAACTCTCACAGTGAGAATCTCATCATGGTAACCCAATAATGGTAAGAGCACAAGCTTTAGATTCAGAAAGATCTAGATTCAACCTCTGGCTCTAGATCTCCTTATGTGGCTTTGAGAAAGTTCTTGGACCTCTCTCAGTTCTCAACTCTGAGATGGTAATACCTGTCTCCTAATATGGTAGCAAGAAATAAATAAAATAATCAATGGTAAGTGCTCAGTGTGGTACATGGTACATAGGAAGTGTTCAATAAATGTTGACCATTATTATTATGAATCCTGTATCTACTTTCCAGAACAGCACAACAAATCTATTACCATTTCCACTTGGCAGCTCTTCAGAAATGTGGACTGCTCTTCCCAAGAAAAATATCCTACTTGTTGAACAGTATGGTCTTAATTCCTCACCCTTCTATGCAAAAAAGAAAAAAAAACTGCATATTCCCAAATAAGTTGATTTAATTGTAAAGTATGCACACACATACACACAACTATAGTACTGCAAATATTATAAACATACAAAATACAGTATTAAACAACAATTTATAAATAATGTTTCCACATTTTCCTCTTATTATATATTAACATGGATCCAAAAATCTATTTTACTCTAACTACAATATTTTAGAAAAAGCAAGGTCACAGGGTGTGTTTCAGTATTTTTTAATCCTTTTTATCACTTACAAAAGCTATTCATAGGTCATATCAATACTATATTTTAATGGCTGTCAAAGCTAAAAACAAAACTTCACAAAAATAGGTAGATCAATGCAACAGCACTCCTTACGTACATAGATACTTGGTTTTCAATCCTATGTTCCTTTTATACAAATATTTTTATGAAATTCAGCTAGTAATTTTCCTTCCTTAATGTCAATCAGATGCTCTTACAAACTGTCTGGAAGATGTTGCATTTTTATACTTTTAATGAAAACATTCAAAATCCCATAAAAAAACTGATTAGAAATACATATTTCCTGATTTTTTAAAATATGCAGTGTAAGAGTTTTCACACATATTGACAAACTTACATCATTTTCAACCATAAAATAACCATTTGCATATATGTTTTCTCTAGTACTCGTTTCCAAAAGCTCTTTTCACAGCATAAATTTTTCTTCAAATGCTATTGTACCCCACCTCATTATTAATATAGCACCTTTCCCTTAAAGAGACAATATAATTGTGTCCAGTAGGAAAATATCTGATTTGTAGCATTATTTCAGTTAGCCATTTGTCATCACAGGAAAAGTCAAATTTGGATCACGTGTCTTTTTGTAAAAAAATATGTAAGTCATCTCTAATTTTGTCAACTCTCTGTAATTTTCCTTGAGATAGCCAACAAACCTCTAAGTGATAATATGATTCTGACAAGAAAAATTTAGGACTCAGAGACTAAACAGAATCAGGTAAGAAGACTGGTCCAGGCAGGTTTATCAAAAGAAAGCAAGGGAAAATCAGAGGAAAAGCCCAGGAAGAATCTGGGAAATTCAGGTGTGGCTTTCTTACTTAGGAGTCATAGAGGTCACACGGGAACAACAGCAACTCAAACACCAAAATAGCACTGCAGCAACCAAGAGCGATGGGGAAATGCAAGCTGTGACCTAGGCCTAGCAGAGTTGGGAAATCAAACATAGTCACAGTTAGAGCAACTAGAATAGAAGGTTGGAACATGACCAGGGCAGTGAAGGGGCCCAGACAGGGCATTCAGTTTCCCTGTAAGATAAATCTCATTTCACTGGATAAAAAATAAAGGATCTTGAGACTTAAACAAATAGCCAAGAAGCACATCATAAAGAATGATACAGCCAGGACTTGAACCCAGATTTTCTGGTGCTAGAATCATTACCTTTGAAGCTATGCTACATGCCAACTTTAACAGAAGCTTATTGCTAAATTCACACACTGGGTCAAAATAGAACTGCAACCTGGCAGGGCAGATAGAACTGAGCTCTCGGAAATGCTGTCCCTGGGCTAATTAAACTCCCCCTGATTATTAAGGAGTCTGGTTTCCATGGAGACTGAGATTAGTTTGAACTGAATAGGACAGTTAAATAGTCCTAGCTTTGAAGGTATGAGATTGGAAAGGCAGGAAATGAGGGTCTCCTACTGTCTCATGAAATTCCTTACACAAAATCATCTTACAAAGAAAGAAACTGAGATTCTCAAAAGGCAAGTAAACTGTTTGGTGTCATTCACCTAGCTAGAAAGAGGGTACATAAATCCAGGGTCTATCTTCATGTCTAAGGTCTTAGTCATTGGGCCAGTTTCTTACACACTGACATCTACAACCAAGTTTCTGTGCTACTATACCTGGACTAATCCTTATTTAATGAGCAAGAAGCATATGTTAGCATCTTTTATCATGTTGTATAGAGCTACTCAAATTCACAGTTAATAAAGATCTGTAGTTAATAAAAATCTCTATCAGCAGGCCTCATAAAATAACAAGACTTTTTACATACACTTGATCCTCATTTTTGCACATTCCATATTTTCTAATTCACGACCTGCTAATATTCATTTGCAACCATAAGTCAATACTTGCCACACAATTGGTGGCATCCCCTCCCTAAATTAAATTCTCCTAAAGCATCTCAATGGTCACTTCAAACCATGGCATGAACTCTGTGCTGCCTCAAGAGTTAGACTAGAAGAGCTAAGACAAACAGACAAACAAACAACACAAACAAACAGACCCTACTAACTTAAGGGAAAAAATAAGAACGTGCTGCTACTATTGAAGATTAATAAAAGCAATAATGATGCCATGAGCCTCAGAGCCAAAGGGACACCTGCTCATGAAAGGCAAATGTATCACCCTGTGGCAGGAAGGTAGGATAGTTCCTGGCCTTTGTAAGGACCCAAATAAATTTATTCTTACAGGAGCAGTGCTCAAGGTCATTATTGTAACCTAAAGATTAGGGACAATCAGGCATGAAAGGTGCTAACACTAGCTTAGAATGTGAAACTGGCTGTTGACAAAAGAGAGCTCTGAGCCAGTTACTTTTCTTTAAAAGACCTATTTGCAGAACTTAAATTTGCTGACATTTTACCCCCAGGCCTTTAACTGTTTTTGAAGATAAACTGTAGTTGAGTGAATCAAAATAATTTTGCAGCAAACAGTCATTTGACCAAAGCAAACCTATTGAGACATAGAGCTCCTAGCTGATTACCCACTTCCAGTCTCCATCAGACATAAATTTATTGATCAGAAGGGAAAAATGAATTGAAAACTAAATGTTCATCCGAACTCCATTTCCTGTGTTATCTTGGGGTTATAGAAAGTCTCAGCTACAGAGTTATAACCAATAATCCATCTCAGTGGATGGTCACTAGATCTTTAAAAGTGTCTTAAACTCAGCACTACAGGAATAATTTTAGCCATTTTTGCAGCATTTTTTCTTTTATATAAAGACCAAAGATTTCAATGTGCTTCCGTAGATGTCTATGGATATTCATTCCACAAGTATAATGACTATGGAAATTCATACTATCCATGTTAGTTAAATGATGCATTTATACCATTCTCATTGGAAAAT